CTTTTCTGGGCAGTAATTCCCTCCCAGATGAAACAATCCATCCTGCAGGGAGGCTCCCCGAAATGGAACATAAACAAAACAGCTTCAGGGTGTCCCTGAAACCCACCAGTTTCACCAGGCCCCTCCTCACCAGAGTGAGCAATAAAAGCTGCGAGTCATCTCCTCGGGAAGCTGAGCTGCCTGGAGGAGGCTCAGAGCAGCTGAGGTGTCTGCAAAGGATGCTCTCCAGCCTGTTGTGGCCTGCAGGCTGTGTGGTGTGTTCCAAGTGTCTAACTCTGTGAGCTGTCACCCACGCTGGGGTGTCCTTGGGGGTACAGCTGTCTCTCCTCACCCACAGGCCTGTCAGTGACCCCAGTAAAGCTCACAGTCCACCAAGTGGGACTTGGGTGGTGTCTGTACTCTGTCTGCTGTGGGCTCTCTACCTGGTGAGTGGCCCTGAGTGCTGCACCTCCTCGGGAAAAGTCTTTCTGGTCACACAACATTGGCACCTGACGAGGTTCTGCCACACCAGAACCAAAGATGAGTTGAGGAGGAGTGAGTGCATGGTCCAGGATGTGGGTGGCAAGGCATTCTGCTGAGGTCCGTCAGCCTGAGAGGTGGACATGGCGGAGGAGACTCTGAGAGAGCTGTCCTCCTCTGGGTTCTGTATGTTGGTGTGCTGTGGTGGCGGCTGCATGGTTTTTCCTGTGGGTAGTGAGATGTAGACCTGAGGCTGAACCACCATGATCAGGAGTGTCTGCAGGAGGAATCCCAGCATGACAGACAAGTCTTCCTCTGGGTGGCATGAGGTGGCGGCCTACTTGATGAGTGAGGTTCTCCACAGGAATACGGAGATGCCCTGAAGACACTTCAAGGTTTAGAGGCCATTTTGTAGTCCTAAGATTAGCACAGGAGGGTCAGGCTCGGCAGCGGCAGCAGGGCGCCAGGTTGCTATTATAAGTGCCAGAAATGCACCTCGGGCCGAAATGGCGCCAAGTGGGAAATCGTTTGTGTAAAGGACCAGTTGCAGCAAGGGAGATGCAGCAGCATTCTCTGTTAGCCCCGGACCTGGCAAGTGCATTACATGAAGGAGAGGATGAGATGGAGGTGACGATGCTCACAGCTTCTTATGGCTTAGCAGACAGAAGGGAAAGAGCACAAGTCAGACCCATGCTCAAAGTCCCTTCCTGGGATCCTTGGAAGCTGTGTGGAGATGCAGAATGAGGAGAACATGGAAAAAGCACCAGAAGACACCCTTTAACAGAAAAACAGGGGAAGCCTGTCATCCAGTGTGCAGATGGGGCGTCAACCACAGTCCAGAAGCTTCGGTGACCAGGGAAAGCTCAGCATCTCCACTGGAAGACTCTGTGGCAGCCTGACCACGGGCCGCAGGAGAGGATGGACCGCTCTGACTGTGGTGTGGACAGGGAAACTGAGTCATATGACTTCCCCTTAAGGCAAAGGCTGCCTTGAGCCATTGTGAGGGAATTAATTAGTCCCAGATGGACTGGCTTTTTAGATCCTTAGAAACACCTGAACTGGAGTCCCCACAAATATCAGGGGAGCATAGAGCAGGGGCAGACGCTATTGAGGGAACCAGGGACAAGAGGAGCTGTGTTTGAACTGTGTTCACAGTGGGGACCTCGGAGCCCATTTGCAGCTTTAGTGGCTTTGCTGAGCCAGACGGGGGAGCAATGTCTTTATAGAGGAGGGAAGGCTTTGACAGCTCTCAGTGACTCACTAGCAGGTAAAGAGCATCTGCATATTGAGAGCAGTCTAGCAGAGATGCGAAAATGGTAATGCCGAGGAAGGTCTGTCCTGTGTCTGCTGGAGCTCCTACGGAAGAACTGAGAGACAGAGCAACACTGTGTGCTGAGGAGCCTCTGGAAGGCTTGCGGAAGACATTCTGATAGGACCACACGGGTTAAGACAATTAAGCTATGTCCACTGTGCCAACCTGTGCCAGCCTTGGGGGACAGCAGAGCCTTAGTCCCCTTGGCCCTGGGCAGATGTGAGTGGATTCAGTCAGGCCCTCCTCAGCTCAACAGACGGATAAATGCAGGGAGGCTCCAGAACACAAAGGCTCAGAGAACAGCCGAGGTCTGTGCCATATTAGTTCTTGTTCCACTTTAGAATCTCCTCAGATGTGAGCTCCCGGGGTCACCTGACACTGCTGATAACAGATGATGGGAATTCGATGGCACCTCACTGAGTTTCTGCTTGTGACCCCACTGTTTATTATGGGACTTTGTGGTGTCCTACTCATCCTGGACACGGCTATCATAGGAGCCATAACAGCAACCCGAATGTCTTGTGGACTTGGAAAACCATCGCAGAGACACCCAGGGTTAATGGTGCCTCTGCCTGTCTCACAGTCCTGCCAGGGCTCGGTTAACTGGAAGGAAAAATGCTCTTTAAGAGAATAGCTAAGAATTTAAATCCAGAAAGCACCCTCTACGGGTGGAATGAGATGTTCCCTGAAGTAAGGTTCCTGAATGGAGACCCCTGTTGTGGAATAATCTTTTTGTACACTATGAAGATTTGCCACTCATATTGGTTTAATAAAAAGCTGAACAGCCAATAGCTAGACAGGCTCTTCTGGGCAGGGGACACTGGGAAGAGAAAGGGCAGAGATTCAGGCAGTCAACAGCCAGAAGGAGAGGAAGCAGCAAGGGCAGTACAGAGTAAAGGTAATAAAGCCAGGAGACAGCAGATTGGTAAAAATGGGTTCAGTTATAAGAGCTAGTTAGTAAGAAGCCTGAGTTATTGGACAAGCTTTTATAATTAATAAGAAGTCCCTGTGTGGTTATTTGGGGGCTGACGGGTGGAACAAAAGGATCTGCCTGCAGACCCCAGTGCTGGGGGCTCCCTCCCTGTGAGCTGTTGGCCTGGAAAGACCCCAAGGTCCCACAAACATCAAGGCTGTGGCTGCTGCCCTTGCTTTTATGCCAGGACTAGATGGTGAGACACACTGTGCCTACCAGACAGGACTGACCAGGAAATCCCCACCTTGACAGCTGGCTTCCACAGCTGGTGGGGGCCACTTGGGTTCCTGGTGGAGAACTGTCACACTATCTGCTTGGCTATGGACCGTCCATGCTGAGACACCACACTCCAGGCAGGGTGTGCCTGATGTGCAATAGTGGCTCAGCTGTCGTGGGCAAGACTAACAGCCTTTAGATTGGGCTTAAGGACTGTTCCACAAAATGAGCTCCCATCTGGTCCTGTACGCCAGGACAGCACCTGCAGCTGGGGAGGTCCTAGGACCCAACAGGAGAGCATCTATGGTTTTTCTATATAGATGTAATGTGCCTGTCAAAACATCCTCAGTATTAGTTTCCTCTGATACTGAAGCATCCTATCCTGCAGGAAGCTCCTTAAGCAGGAAAGTAAACAAAACAAAACAAAAAAAACAAAACCTTTAGGAAGTCCCTGAAACGGACCAGATTCACTAGGCCTCTCTCCCAGTCAGAGTAAACAGTGTCTCGACACCCTGACCATAGATGGTCATGGTCAGCCTCAAATCATAACCACTGGAGACGTTCCTCAACATGTGACCGCTACTGTGCCATGGCCTGATTCATGGCCACAGGTGGACGTCTACAGTCACCCCTTCCATGGCTCAGCAACCACTGCAGAAGATGGGGTGCAAAGGATATATGAGTGGAGAAAGGGGTAGCACGTTGTATAACTGTTTCCTCCAATGCTGAAGCATTCCATCCTGCAGGGAGGCTCTTTAAATAGGAAGGTGAACAAAACAGCTTCAGAAAATCCCTGAAGCTGACCAGTTTTGCGTGTATTTGTGTCTCATTCCCAGAGAGCTTCAATAAAAGCTGAAGGTCAGTCCCCTCGGGAAGCCGAGCTGCCTGGGGAGGCTCAGAGCAGCCAAGGCATCTGCAAAGGATGCTCTCCAGCCTGTTGTGGCCTGCAGGCTGTGCTCCAGGTACCCAGCTCTGTGAGCTGTCACCCACACTGGGGTGGCCTTGGTGACAATTGTCACCTCACCCATATGCCAATAACCCCAGTAAAACTCATGGTTCACCAAAGAGAACATTGATGGTGTCCATACCTGAGGTCTGTACCTTGTAGGCTCCTTCCCTGCGGCGGGTGGACTGTGTGTTGAGCCACCCCAAGGAAAGTCTTTGTTATCACCCACCTATCTCCCACCTTGAGACCCACACCCCCATCTCTAGGAACCCAAAACTACCAGCACCTCCAGGCCTGCCAGGGGTCAAAGTGATACCACGGCACAGACACCAGCATCCCAATCCCTGGTGCTCCCAGCTTTCCACATACAGTCAAGGTTCCAAGGGTCCTTGGGGACCCAGCTGTGCCAGGCAGGCGCCAGCTTGGGCTGGATGGGGCTGGCACCAGCCCCAGACCTGTCCCCGCCGGGAGGTGGGCAACAAGTTATTTTTAAGCTTGTGGAAGGAGATATGGCTCCGGCTCTTTCTAGACAACAGAGTGGCCCCCAGGGATCCAGTCAGTCACTCTGTGACACAGGTTAGCCTCCAACTCACCATCCTCCTGCCTCAGCATCTCCAGAGCTGGGAGAACTAGCTTCACCTACCACATGGGCTATCTTCCTATTCTCTCCTTATTCCCTACCCACCCTTTTCCTCTCTCTCGACACTGTGTGTGGTGCTTTGTCTCTGTGTCTGTGCACAAGCAAGCTGCTCCCACGGTGTGGGGAGGGAGCATCTGAGCTGGAGTCACAGGTCGAGCCTGGGTGCTGGGAAACGAACCTGTTGCTCTGACCACTGGGCCACCCTCCAGCCCCCACCAGTGCCTTTGTGTGTGTGTGGTATAGCCAGGCGTGGGTACTGAACTCCGCCCTGGGCCTCTTCTATCTGTCCATTGGCGCAGATGGCTCCTCCCATGGGCTCCTCCAGAAACGCCATCTCCCACAACTGGGCTTTCTTTCATCGCATCTATTTTCCCCGTCTCTCCCAGGCCATCGGGAACCGCGACCTCCCACAGCTGGCAACCCACTTCGCGCAGAGTGAATGAGCAGCGACCAGGGCAGTTCCCACACTTTATGTGAATTCAGTTTTCGCGAGGGTCGGCGTGGCCTCCGGGCAGGCGCCCAGGGCTGGGGCGTGAGGTAGCGTCACACGCACGCGCACTCCCGCGCCGACAGCTCTTGCAGCGTGTGGTAGCGGCTGTGCACGTCCAGAAAGGAGACCTCGTCCTCGTAGGCCGTCGGGCGGCAGCACGGGTGCGCGCGCACCCGCTCCTTGCGCACGCGCCTCCGCTGGCGCAGGCGCCGCAGGCCCAAGTCGTAGATGCGCAGGGCCGCCTCGCACGCGCCTGCGCAGTAGCGGAACAGCACCGTCTCATCCGACGTGTAGCCCAGGCCCAACTCGCTCACACGCACCTCGAGCTCGCGCAGCCCGCAGGGGCGCGCGCCCGACCGCGCACGCGCACGCCGTCGCCGGGGACCCGCTCGACGGCGCGGGCCCGGAGCGCGTGCGGCCCAGGGGGAAAGTTCTCGAAGCTCCACCGCGTCCGGGGCGCCCTGCAGCAGAGCTCGGTCTGTGGCGGGAAAAGGAAGACAGAGGATTGGACCGTGAGAGCTGGCCCCGCCCCTTTCCCTCCGCCCCGCGCACGCCTGGGGCTGCGGAGGAGACGTGGCAAGGGACGCGTGACAGCTGGAGCTCGGGCTGCGGCCAGGAGATAGACGATTGGCCGGTGAGGGCTCCGCCCCTCGCTGCACGAGGCACCCGAGTGGTCCCAGCCTGGCCTTGGCTGCCATTGCTCCCCACTCCATCTGTAGTTGAGGGGTGTGCGGACAGGACGGGGTTCAGGAGGCAGAGGCAAGGGGAATCACGTCAGGGGCATCTTCATCTACTCCGAGAGTCTGAGGCCAGCCTGGGCTACATGAGACCACACCCCCAAGCTAAGTGGCCGGTCCCTCCCGGTTCCCGCCCCCTGGCCTCTCTGGGGCGGGGCTTACACTGTGCCAGGCGGGCGAGGCGAGCGTCCAGGGTGCGTGGCGGGCGTCGCAGCGGCGCGAGCGCAGGTCCCAGGCGGTGGCCCAGCAGCAGACCCTCCTGGCACATCCAGACCGACAGCAGGGAGCTGCAGACGAGCGACACCAGGGCCGCCGCCTTCCAGCGCCTCATCCTGGGCCTCGACCTGCGGGGACACGGGGTGGTGGGCGCCGGCAGGTGGGGCGAGGGTGTGCGGCCATCTCCGGGGCAGCAGTGGGTGCAAAGGTCCTGAGGCTGATGGCGCCTGGCGTATCCTAGCAACGAATACCAGGCCAAGCAGGGAGAGGTAGACAGCAGGAGATGCCCCCAGCAGGTGGCTAGCGAGAGGGGCTGTCCTGCATCTCATCTGCGTGCCTCAGATACCAAGCCACATCTTCCGGAAAGGTTGCCCATCCCAGCCCCTCGGAGATGTCCCTCCATCAGGGCACCCATACTTCCTGCTTACCGCACACAGTAGGTGTGTAATAATCTGCCACCCTCTAGGTTACCCAGAATCCCCTGCTTCGGCCTGAAGTCCCTTGCATTCGGTTTGCATGGCCCCACCACAGCACAGGCCACTACACGGAGCCCCAAGTGTGTGCCAGGCCTGACCCTGCACACACCAGGAGGCGTCTGTGTCTGTGTCAAGCTGGGGAAACTGAGGCACAGAACAGGCGGAGGCCTGCTGACCCCGAACTCTGCCCCCCGTTATTGAGCACTGACTGTACACTATCCATCCTCTCAGTAAACGACGCGTGAGTTTGTCCACGGCTGACATTTATTGAGCGGGAGGAGTGTGTGCCGGATGGACAGCCGCACAAGGTGCCCGTACTTGCGCACATCCCTGCACCGCAGTGCAAAGGCCCGGGAGCAGGAGGAGGGAGGGTGGGCACGTTACTATAGTAAGTCCGGGCTACGCCACTGCTAGGACCCGGCTATCGCCCAGTAGCCCAGGTCTCCGGGGCCGAATGCCAGGGCCCGAGCGCTGAGTGCAGGTGCTGGGAACCAAACCCGGGTCCTCCGGCGCCCACAGGCGGGAATTAAACTGTCCATGGTCTACAGCGGTGGAGTCTCTGTCCTGGCATGCCTGCCTCACCCCCACCCCCACTGTACCTCCATTACCCCCACCTCCTTCCCGCTAACTCCGGACTAAGCATCCCAAGCCCCAAGGGCTGTTCCTCCGTTCACCCTCACCTCCCTCCCGTGGCCTGTGCCTCCGTCCCCCCTCTCCCACAAGGTGGGCTGCGCCTGTTTCCCCCTGTGGACTCTATGAGGAAGCATGATGGCCGAGAAGACCGTGGACCCCCAGCCGAGCTCCGAACCCGTCAACAATGGCCTGTCTGTCCCGGGTCACCCGACTGGTTTGTCTGCCACGGAAGGGGGTACTGGGGGACGAGGTGAATACGCAGAGGCCCAGTGGTCACCGCGTCCTCCTGTCCCCGCCCTGTTTCCCCATCTGCAGTGGTGTCCAGCAGACCCACTCATGCACACGACCCGGGGCCCCATGGCGCTCAGCCTCCTCAGTCCCCTATGATCCATAGGGTCTCAGGTAACCCAGGTTGGCCTCCTGCCTCCACCTCCTGAGTGCTGGGGGTGGCGTGGCACCGCTTCCGGTCTGGGGGGGTTATTCAATTTTAGAAAATCATTGGGGCCCCGGGGGAGGGGGGTTCTATACATATGCTTTAGGCAAAGTCCGTGCCTCAGTTTCCCCGTCAGCACTGACAGTTTTTCCTCTGGTCTGTGAGGAAACTGAAGCCTCCCGGAGCTCGGGTTCTCACCTCCCTCTGAGGGCCCCACCCGCCGGCGGGACGCACATCTGGGGGCAAAGCAACAACATCTGCAGAGCGCAGCTGGTTCCGATGAGCTGTGGGGGCCGCGGCCTGGGGTGCCTTTTGGGGTTTGGTGGGTTGGGGGGCGCAGGCAAGAACTCAGGGCCACTGGCAGCCCCAGGGACTGAGTGAGGCCTGATTTGTTCAAACTCCTGCTCGTACCTTAAAGCCCCAATTTCAACACGTCCCGTCCCCCCCCACACACATTTTCGAGATTTTATCTTATTGTGGTCTGCGGGAGCACGCGCCGCAGAAGCGTGAGTGCGTAGGTCAGAGGGCAACTGTGGAGTCAGTCTATGGGTTCAGGTGACCAAGCTAGTGGTAAGTGTCAGCGCAGGACACTGACCGCTCAGCGTCACACAGCAGATGGGTTTAAACGTGTGGGAGGGGGCCCTCGGTGACTGCGACTTCTGGGTAGTGCGCCACCCCACCCCCGACACCACGCAGGCAGGGCCAGAGAGGTGGACTGTCACCGCAGGACACACAGCGCCCCCCGCCCCCGTCCCCCAGGCCTGGCTGTGCGCATGCCCCGCGGATAACCGGATCAGGCTAATACGGGCTGAGCAGCTGGAGCAGGGCGCAAAGACGGCAGGAACCCCCCTCCCCCGTCCCAGTCTGACCATCTGGCTTGGAAAGGAAACTGAGGCAGGCTCCGCGGCTACCTGCCCTCTCCCTTCTTCCCAAATCCAAAGTTCGGCCTCACGTCCTAGATGAAGGCATCGCCGAACCTCAGTTTCCCAACACCGGAGCCGGCGCTAGGAGCTTTATCGTCTTGAATTAGCCTCATTACTTTAAATGCACGTATTTGCGCAAGGCGGGTGCAAGGGGCGTCGACCCCTGGCACGGGGTCCCCAGGAAGCACTCTGCCTTCATTGACTTATTCTAACATTTTCTCAGTGTTTCTTCTCGTTTGAGTCAATGTAGCCCAGGCTGGACCTTGTGTGGCTAAGGCTTACCTTGAGCCCCTGATCCTCTGCCTCCAGTTCCTGAGTAGCAGCGGTGAGGACAGGCTCAAGGCGCCACACCTGCTCCCCATGCTTCCCCGGCCAACCTTCCAGAACATTTTCTCCTCATCCGTCACTGGCTCATCCTGATTGTCCCCACGCGAACCAAGCTTTCCCAGATGTAGTGCCCTCCTTCAGGAAATCTTCCCTGAGCCTCCCACCTGTCCAGAGTGCCTGTGTCCGTGGAAGGCAGTGTTGCTGCTTCTAAGGACAGCCCATGGGACTGACATCTGTCGGAGCATCTCTGGGTTTTGTTTTGGTGCCTAGCTTTGTTGGGTTTTATTTAATTCTGAGAACATGGTGGTGGCGTTTCGGACAGGATGCCCGGATGAAGGGATACCGGGCTTGGGGCTGTGCCCGACTGGGGGTGTTCCCAGCTGAAGGGGGATGCCTGTGGGGTGTGCCCGACTGAGGGGTGCATGGCTGTGCGATGTGCCCAGCTGAGGGGTGCCTGGCTGATGGTGTCTGGCTGTGGGGTGTGCCCGGCTGAGGTGGGTGTTCTGGCTGTGAGGTGTACCCGGATGGGGGCTGCCTGGCTGTGAGGTGTACCCGGCTTGGGTGGTGCCTGGCTGATGGTGTCTGGCTGTGGGGTGTGCTTGGTTGAGGGGGGTTCCTGGCTTAAGGATGCCCGACTGGGGAGTGCTGAGTTGAGGGGGGTGTCCGACTAGGGAGGGGTGCCTGGCTGTGGGATGTCCGCAGTTGAGAGGGGTACTTAGCTGTGGGGTGCTCAGCTAGAGTGTGTGTATTTGGCTGGGGGGAATATCTAGTTGGGGGTGCCCAACTGAGGGGTGCCTGGCTGCGGGGTGTGCCCTGCTGAGGGGTGCTCTGCTAGGGTGTGTGTATTTGGCCGGGGGGATATCCGGCTGAGGGGGTGTCTAGCTGTGGGATGTGCGCGGTTGAGGGGGGTGCCCTGCTGAGGGGTGCTCGGCTAGGGTGTATGTATTTGGCTGGGGGGGATATCCGACTGAGGGGGAGCATTTGATTTTCACCGCACTGCCACAGTCAGCCCTTTGTGGTTGCCTAGGGGTTTGGAGCTGGCTAGGGACTGGGACCCTCAGAAGTCCCCCGGATGAAAGAGCGGGAAGGGGTGTCCTGCCCGGGGCAAGGGGCTGGAGTGGGACGAGCTGGTCAGGCTGGAATCCACCCGCCACTGACATCCTGCCCGTCACGCCCCATGGGGCTTCCTCAGCCGGGGGCGCTGACACACAAAGGGTGTCCCAGAACATCAGGGATGTGAGGCTCAGCGAAGGAGGCGGGACGGAAACCCAGGCGTCCAGTGCCCAGCACAGCCCCCACCCAACCACTGTGTCAGGCAAGTGGCAACCTCCCCACCAAGCCCCCCAAATCCGCATCTCAGCATCCAGCCTGGGCTTCACGATTTCTGCCTCTGGTCCCACCTGAAGTCTGCCCACTCTGCAGCAACCCTGGACCTGATGACTTCTCACCCATAAACCGAATTATCCGGAGTAATCTGGAGCAAGAACTCGGAAAGTGGGGAACACATACATGGTTTCCAATCTGAGCTTTGCCCTTAAGGGACCCCCCTCCTCCAAAGAGCCCCACGCCCTCTTGTGGCTGAACAGCGACTCAGGAGCCCAGAAGCCCGGCCCTTACCGGGGAGGACACGGTGTCCCCGGGCACGCAGCGAACGCGCCCCTGACGTGTTTACTTCTGTGCGCCGCGGGGCTGCGCCACGGCTGGGCCCCCTCCTGGGACTCACTGCGACCTCGATGTCACCTCTCCATCCTCCCTGATTGACGGAGCGCTCACGGGGGTCCGGGGGTCCAGCAGCTTAGCACAGGAACCGCGGACGCAGGAGCCAAGAACGCGCCCCGTCGGGTACGGAACCCCGCGGTAACCCGGGAGGGGGACCTTAGGGACTCCCCCCCACCGCACTGCGTCCCGGGACTCAGCTTACCTGTAGGGGTCTCCAGATGACCCGGTCAGTGGTGACTTCTCCGACCACCCGAGCCCGGCCCGGCCCCAGCCACCGCGTGCGCCATCCGGATCGCGGGGACCCAAGGCAACCCGGGGACCCCGTGCCGGAGGAGGCCACCGCGCAGGGTGCGGGACGCGGGCCGGGCCATGGGGTTTCCCCCCCTGTCCTCTCTCTCTCTGGTTTCCCCGGGCTCAGTGAACCCCGGGGAGGCACGCGTGGGAGGCTGGAGCGCGCTCGGGACGCGGGGCCACGCGGGGAGCGCGGGGCGCACGGACGGAGCCACCGCGCGCTCTCCCTCCGCTCCCGCCGCGCACCGCTCAGGCCGGCTGGGCTAGAGGGGGCGTGGTCTTCCCGGAGGCGTGGATGTGGGCGTGGCGTAAGGTTTCCCGGGCTTGGGAGCCGCCCTCGTCCTGCCCACAGCCGGAGGGGCGCGCCGGGAGAGCAGGTGGCAGGAACGCGGGAGGCCCTAGACGGCCACACCGATCGATCTATCGACTTTCCCGGGACTCTCCTTCATCCGAGACTTTGTGCCCCAAATCTAGTACACACTAACTTTGCGCACCCCTTCCCCATGTTCCCAAACCCCCCACCTAGACTCCCCACGAGGATGAACCCCTAGAGTATCGGATGCCCCCCAAATTGCTGTTCCCAGTGCTCTGTGGCCATCTACGTTGTAACCTAGAGTCCCTGGACGCCCGTCTGGTCAGCCAAAGGCCACTCTGCACCCACTCATGATCCTCCACGAGTCCTTCCCATCCCTCTGTCTGCCCCAAGGAGCCTTCCCAGGGAAACTGGGTTCAAGGTTTCTGCTCAGGCACCCTGGATTATGTAGTACTGCCCAAGAGTCCGTGGTCCTCAGTGAACCACACCCATCGTCGCTTCCCGTCACCCTGCGCCTCAGAGTCCCGTGAAGAACCCATTTGGGACGGTTTACCCCAAAGCACCCCACCACCCCATCCCGGACCCCATCACTGAAGTCTACCACACCCTACTCCACCACCTGCGACTCGTGAGCGCTTCCTAGTGGAGCCTGATCACTCAGGGGCAGGGCAGGCGGGGGCGGGGTGAAGGATGCTGTGACCACGCCCCTCCACACCCAGTTGCCGAGAAACCACTGCCCTAAGGTCCCGCCCTCGACATTCAGAGCCGGCTCCTTCACAGCACCCTTGGCTGCCACCACTTGATGTGGGTAGGTGGGCTGACTTAAAGTCAACTTATCCCAGAAGCCTTTTCATGACCAAGCCCCAAAACAATTCTACCTCTTGCCCAGGGCCTGTGCTGGGGATCCCCCATGCCGGTGGAGTGTGTGCGCATGTGCGTGTGGGGTACAGAGGGTAATGTGGGTTTGACTCCATGGGTCAGAACAGCAGACTTCTAAAGTCACCTGTGCTCTGAGACCTGAGGCAGCGACTCCTCCCTGTGTCTTTGGCTTCCAAGTGGTGAAGGGTATGCCGCAGGAGCGGGGAGATGGGCAAGGGCCTGGTAAGGGGGAGATGGGGTGAAGGCCTGTTATGGGGGAGATAGGGTCAGGGCGTGGCACTGGGGAGATGGGGTGAGGGTGTGACACGGGGAGATGGGGCGAGGGCATGGCAAAAGGGACATGGGCGAGGAACTGGCACCAGAGGAGATGGGGTGAGGGTGTGGCACAGGGGAAATGGGGCGAGGGTGTGGGTGGGGGAGATAGGTGAAGACCTGGCACTGAGGAGATAGGGTGAGGGTATGGGTTGGGAAGATGGGAAAGGATGTTAGACACCGGTGAATAGCACGCTAGCTGTACATGCACATGCATGTTTGGTGGCAGGGCACTCAGCTGTAGGTCCCATAGACACTGGACGCACACACCCACACTAACTTTACACACACACACACACACACACACACACACACGCTCTTCTTGGCCCGCACAGAGGATCTCCCCTGAGGCTCAGCTCATTTACAGACACCCCATTCCGGTACAGCCAGGTGCTGGTTGACACACACAGACTCACACGAACAATACAGATGCTCCCTGTCTGTGTCCTCTGTCACATTCATCACTGGTGCAAAGGCCCACACTGACACACTAGCACAACATGCAACACATGCAAGAAAAGCTCCAGCAGACACACACATGACACACATGGGGGGCTGGTATGGCAGACCAGGTCCCCCTTGCACACACAGCTGGCCAGAGCCCACCCCCACTGGGCCAGCCACCATGAAGCTGTCACCAGTCACCTTGTGGCCACCTCTGCTCCCCCGACCCAGCAGTGACTGGGGGTGGGGCAGGCAGACACATGGGGAGCAGGACACACACATGTGCCCACCATGTGGACACTCATAAAATGGTTGCCCTGGCAACAGCAACTTGAAAGACCAGGCTCTTCCTCTGGGATAGATAGGGGTGCAGGGGTGGAGCTAACATCAGCAGGCAGGACAAGAGCAGAAGGTGGGGACACAGGACCCGCACCCACCTATGACCCCATTTCTGGGACACGTGGTTTGTTCTAAACACCCACGGGGATCTCATCAGAGACACAAAATGGCTGCCACGCTCAGGGCTGGAAGAGGTCACACCAGAAACTCAGGTGCCATCTATCCCGACAGCCCCCCAAGACAGATGCCTGTCGTGCTCTGAGTCACGCTTCAGCTGGGAACCGGGGCACACACGCATGCACACAGGCACATACCTCTCTTTCCAGCATTCTCCACCCCCAGTGGAGGCCGATCCCCCACTGGGATCTTGTTGGGTGAGGGAGACGCTCCATGGAGACCGACACTGTTGGTGCCACCCCCTTCAGAGAAGGGTCACAGCCACAGCCGTGTTCCTATCCGGGAGGCTGAGCTCAGGGCTAGGCTGGGGGTGTTTACAGTGCTAAGTCCTCTTGTCCAGATGCAGGCCATGTAGGACCAGGGACCGGTGTCAACATCTGAACTTCCCATGCCAGGGGGACAACTGAGGTGAACTCGGTGTCCTACCAGAGCCTAGACATGGGGAAACTGAGACACAGCTGTATGCAGGCCCTTTGATCCATTTCAGTGAAGATATGGGACCTGAATTGTGGCCCCCATCCCGTGTTTGCCTGGACTTTGTTCCTCTTTGGTGTCCCACATCGCCAGGCAACACCCCCTGCCCTGCCACACAGCCTGTTTGGTGACCAACTGGGTGGTTGTGAAACTTGGGGCTCAGAGAGATCATGCAGCAGACCCGGTCACACAGCAAGAGGCTGTGGCTTGGGGACTTTGCAAAACGTCCTGCCCTGTCCACCCACCCATCTCCCCCTGCTCCGGAGTGGGCCTGACCTCCTGGAGGCCACCATTCCCAAGGGAAAGCACTCTGTTCTTGGGTGGAGACCCAGGCCAAGGCTTGGGCGGCTGGTGGCCTCTGGCCAAAACATGAACTTGGCTGGTGGGGAAGTTTCCATCTTAGCGTCAAGAGTTGGTCCGGGTTCAACCGGCTGGGGGCTAGACCCTCGGGGGACCCCTGAGGGACTAGCCCAGTTGGGTTGGAAGTGCCTGGGAACTAAGTGTGTCCTCTCTTCCCCTAGGCCACCTCTATGTGACTGGGAACTTCACAAGCACCATCCTGCAAAGTGTGTGGAGTCACGGTGAGAGATTGCTCGATCTGTTTCCTCATTTGTGAAATAGCTCCTAGGTGTGTTGTGGACCTAGTCTTGGATACCCCCTGTATGACAGGAGTGTCCTTGGGCTTTCCTTCTAGTATGGGCTTTCCTTTTGAGAAAGGCTCCCATACCGTAGCCCAGGCTAGCTTAAACTTAACTTCTGATCCTCCGGGTATGTTCGTTCCCATGCCCGGATGGAACCAGAACTTCAGCTGTTCCAACGAGGGCTCTACCCACTGAGGGCCCAACCCCAGGCTGACCCTGACAAGGCTTTGCTGTGTACTGTGTGCATAGCCCAGGCTGGCCTGGCGCTCCCCCATCCTGTCCTGCCTCAGTTTGCAGCATTGGCTTCTGGGACTTTGGGGTGATTGTCATTTCAATGTGGGAGCCGCAACTGGGCCTCCGACTTCACCTGATACTCTGGTGGGGGTGGGGAGTCTCGGGCAAACAGAGGTCAGGCAGGGACCCTGGGGGCCCGTGGGCGGTAGGAAGGAACGGGACTGCAGATCCAGGCGGGGATGGTAAAAACAGGACCGGGCAGTTCTCCTGGGGGCCATCGACAGCCCAGGGTCAGAGGTCAAGGCCTGGTCCCCACGGGTCCGGGGTCAGGAAGGTGGGAAACACATCAGGCCGGCCACCTGGGCAGCGAGCGACTCCCGCGGAGGGAGCGGGGAAAGGGGCGGGCTTACTCCCGGGTGGGCCGTTCTGCGCACGCGCACAGCACACTTGCACGGGCGCGAGCTCTCTGCCGCCTGCTTGGCCCCGGCTGCTTTAATCCCCCTGCTCCCGACCTGCAGCCCGGAGATAAGGACCCAGCTGCAGACTCAGATAAAAGAATCGCTGCCACACAAATCCGGGAGGCCAGCCGTGGGCACTCGGCCCGGGCTGCACCTGCTAGACCTGGGGGAGGGGCGGGGGGAAACCCAGGCAGGCACAGACCTGGAGAGAGATAGAAAAGAAGGGAGCCAGACGCGGACAGGGGGACTGCCGTGAGTTTGGGGTTGCCGTGGGATAGAAAGTGAGCCTTTGTCACAAAAGACAAAAATAAGAGAATGCCAGAATCAGTTCAAGGTCATTTTCAGCCACAGGTAAAGGCTAGCATTGGCTATGTGAGACCTTACCTCAAAAAAAAAAAAAAAAAAAGAAAGAAAGAAAGAAAGAAAGAAAGAAAATCATTGAGGCTAAACAGGAAGAGTAGGAGAGACAGGCAGAGAGGAAGGTGGAAGGACGCAGCAGCTGGGACCCGGAGTCTTCCCTGCGCCCACTTGGTGCCTCTGTCTCCCTCCTGACCCCCTTGTTTCCCGGTGTGAGCCGAGTTCAGGCCTGGGTACGGCTTTCCACAGCTCCGGGGGATTATCCGGATCCCACTGTTCAGGGAGCACGGACTCCCCAAAGGCGACGCCGGGGTGCCCCTGGATGTGGAAACTGCCAGGGAGAAAGGGGCGGGTGTGCGGTGTCCCTGGAGGAGGGAACATCATAAGCGAGGGGTGGCGAGGACTCTGGCCGTGCTGCGGGGCGGGGCGGGGCGGCGATGGCGGCTCTGGCCGGGGTAGGAAATCGAGGCCCGGTACGCGGTAAGCGCTCGCCAACGGCGCCGTCGCCGCGGTTAACGTCGGTACCGTACCGCGGCCGCGGGCTGCCTTGCGCGGAAGGAGGGGTCGCCCTCTGCGGGCCTCAGTTTCCCCCACTGTGTCCTCGTCGCAATCCAAGGGACACTACAAGGAGCCCCAGCCTTTCCAAGCGCATCGTGTTATCCCCACGTCGTCCTGCAGGGAGAGGCAGAGAGCAACAGGCCACCACCGAGGTCTCAGGCTTATTAATACCTTTCTCTCTCTGGGCCTCAGTTTCCCCTTGTGTCTGTTTCGTGCGTTGAGGGCCAGCCTGGGCTACAGAGTGAGACCCCCTGACTCCAAGAATTAAATGAATATACCTATCGATTTGTTGGACTTGGCTTCGGTTTTTGAGACGTGTAGCTCAGGCTGGTCTCGAACACTACCAAACCCGGGATGACCTTTGAACCCCCTCCCCCAGGTATCCGGATGGGGGGGCACAGGGCCTCGTGCGCAGTGGTCTCCATCCCGAGATCAGTTGGGAGGAGCGCCTGCTGCACCCCGCGCGGAAGAGCTGAGAAGCCCACCATACACACGTGACACAGGGGGGAAAGGAAAGGCGACAGTGGCGCCCGTCTTTACTCCCAACACTCCGGGGACAGAGACAGGAGGATATCTGAGAGTTCGAGGTCCACCTGTGATCGGTGTGCGAACCCCGCGGGAACCCTCGGGCACTTCCGGTTCCTGCGCGAGCCTACGAGCCGAGGCCCCGCCCCCTGGACGGCCTGCGCACGCGCCCCTTAGCGCCATTGGTGCGGTCTGAACATGCGCACTCCGCTCGGTAGGCTTTGGCGGACACGCGCGACCCGGAAGACTTTCGTGCCACACTCCAGAGCTGCCGTAAGGGGCGTCGATGGCGGAGAATGCAGAAGCGGCAGCCGAGAGAGGTGGTGGCGGTGACTCCGGAGCTGGCGCGTGCGAACGGGGCGTAGCGCCCATTAAAGCTCAGTGAGTCATTGGTGCGGGACGGCGAAGCCGATGGGGCCATCCCGGCGTCCTTAGCGCGGCGAACGCGGTGCATGCCGGGAGGTGTGGCGGCCCCACTGTTTTGACAGAGTACACGTTGGCTGTCACACGCCTTAGAGACGGCTGTGCGCGTGCGTAGTGTGAGGACGCAGACTCGAGGCCGCGGTGCATGCTGGGGCTTGTAGTTTCTGGGCGCGGGCCAAAAAAAAAAATGACGCGCTGTATTGCCACTTCCCGATGCGGTTATAGACTGCGTCTCTGTAAGCGGGCCGAAAGGCTACCTGGGAAGCGTGGCAGCTCGAGCCTAACGGCCAAGCGTTCTGGGACTTGTAGTTTCTCTGTAGTCTAACGTGATTTGTTGGTGTTTATGCATTACAACCTGTAATAGTGCAATTCCCTATGCCAACCAAACCTCTCCCTCTCTGGCAGGTACCGCACCACCAAGGAACAGTTCCACCAATACCTGGATGCAGACAAGCCGGAGGATGTGTGCCAGGAAACGCCCGCCGGAGACCCTGATGGCAGTGACCCAGCCGAGCCCAAGGCCAAGAGGATACGCCTGGAAGATGGGCAGGAGAACGGGAAGACAGAGGAGGCCCCTGAGCCTCCCGAGCAACGACAGGTGCCCAAGAGGGCCCGAGGCCAAAACAAAAGCCGGCCCCACGTGAAGCCAACGCACTATGACAAGGAGCGGCTTTGCCCGTCCCTCCTCCAGGTGAGAGGGTGCACTATGGGCCTGTCATCTCAAAGCCTGCTGCCGCTGTGCTGTAACATGCACACAGGCCCTTGGCTTCTCGCCTTCTCGCGGGGGCAGAGTGTTGCCTTCAGGAACTCCTGCCCTTAGCCTGCTCGCTGCCACGCTGGCATCTGAGGCCACACTGGCCTTTTTGTGTCTTCTGTGGCCCGTGCTGGTCTGATGAATCTGTTTCAAGTTTACCATGATGCTGTTTCTAAAGAGACCTAAAACTTACCTGTCCTTTAAAGAGGGCTTTGGCCACCCTGGTACCCGAGTTACAGGCTGTTGTGAGTTGCCACACAGTGTGGGAATCAAACCCGGTCGTGTACAAGAGCAGCCGGGGCTCTTGGTCACTGCTGAGCCGATGTGATCTCCAGCTCACGTGAGCCTGACACGGTTCCAGCTTTAGAGTTGGTGACACAGGCACGCTAGGGTTGCTCACACACACAGCTGGGAGAATAATCCTCACAACCACCCTGGCCACTTTCTCCTCTCCCGGCCCCTCCCTCATGTCCCTCACAGGAGTCGGCCACGTGTGCCTTTGGTGACCGGTGCCGCTTCCTGCACGATGTGGAGCACTATCTGGAGACCAAGCCAGCAGACCTGGGCCCCCGCTGTGTGCTCTTCGACACCTTCGGCCGGTGCCCCTACAGCGTGACCTGTCGCTTTGCCGGGGCACACCTTGGGCCCGAGGGCCAGAACCTGGTGCAAGAGGAGGTAGTGGCCCGCTGTGCGGACCTCCCGCCAGTGCGCAATGGCCTCAACAGGGCCCTGCAGCAGCAGCTGAGGAAGCGCCAAGTGTGCTTCGAGCGGGCGGAGCAGGCTCTGCGCCGCCTCACCCAGGGCCCCATGCCCATCCCTGAGACCTCTGTAGCCACGGTTACCCCAGAGCAGAACAGTTGCCATGCCCAGCTGGACACTGCGGGAGGGGCCAGCACCCCGCATGGCAGCCCTGTGTCCACCTGTGGCCCCTTGACGGACGAGGACGTCATTCGGCTGCGACCCTGTGAGAAGAAGCGGGTAAGGATGCCAGCATGGGAGCTGGATTGTCCATAATCCTGTCTCTGGAAGGAACCTGAGGGGTGAAGGGAACAGCATGGAAGGCTCCTGAAGGGAGGCCATTGAGACT